CGACCAACACGATAATCAAACGAGGCGAAGAAGAACAGGGGGTGGAGATTTCACCGTTTGATGGCGTGGTGGAACTCATACGGATATAAGAGCGAGTTCAAAGATGTTATGTGGAGGGACACCGCGACACAAGACGATGGGCTCGCCTCGAAATGAACACGGAAGTTCCTTTAGCAATCGCGAGCCAATGAATATTTTCGCTTAATTATCCCTTATGTACGCGATGATGCTGACCATGACGAGGGTCAGTCGTAAGTCGTTTTCACGTCCTCTAAGTCGGTAGTGTCATCGACACTACCTAGGCCGTGGCTTTTTGATTCAGCCAGCGGAGTCTATCGATGTCTCGAGAGTTCGGTGAGCAGCAGTACCGTCCTTATCGTTGTGACGGAGAAGACCGGCTTCACAATGAGCACGCCGTGGGGTCCTACCGAGGCCAGCACGGAGGCTGCCTGCTGGTGACGATGATGACGGCGAGTATCATGCTTGGTCCGGTAGTGTCAAGATCGATATGTTGAGTTTTGTGTGCCTTTTGGGGTCTTCTCCTGACTTGCATTGTTATTCTATGGATTGAGAGATTTGTGTGTTTGTTCGTGGCGTCGATTTGAAACCAGAGTTTGTGTTCGCGAAGGAGATTAAGAAACCTTTGTTCGCGTTGTGTGGTCCGTTCGAGAATTTTTTCGCTGAGTGATATGAAGAAGAGTCGGAGCGACAGGGTTGTATATCTTGTTTAAATGTTTTGTCTTCGTTTGGGTTCAGTCGTTTTCTGGCCAGTCGAGGTCTACGCCTAGGGGAGCAGATGGCGAGTAGGTGGGAGAGAAAGAGGGAAAGAACAATCTGAAGAGTTGGATAGTTTCTTGCAGATTATTTGGGGTAGATAATCGATCTATGTTATCTTGGGCGGACGGGATGAGGTCTTCAATGACATTTGTTATTTGGTTGTGGTGGTTTTCAATTTCAGCGAAGTAGTTTTGGAATCTTCTTACATTTAGTTTGAGGATGGTTCTTTTGAGCTCGTGGACGAAGACCCAGAATGGTCTTGGGGTGTGGAGCTGTGACGAACGGACAAGGTCCGTTGCGCAAACTACCCATGACAAGCTTTCGGACTATCAGAAAACTCACGAGCTCAGGGGAGATTTCGAGACCACTAGGTTGGGTGACTATCAAGAACTCATTATCATTTATATTCCCAGGGAAGGGAGGTTCCCATATTCTTCATTTATAATGTAATCCAGTGTACCAATATCGTTACGATTGACAGTGATGATTCAATAAGAAAAAAAAAGAAGGCAGCCAGTTAGCACGCTCTCAGCGGCCAGCTGTGGATTGGTGCGCGGAGCTGTGGAAAACAGCTGTGCAGAGAACATGACAGTCGGCGCCCTAGCGGCAGAGTGCGGGACCAGTCAGTAGCAAGAATCTCTCAGCCCACGGCGGTCACACCCGATCCGTCCGAGTACTGGAAAAGCTCTAGGGTTCAAATACCCGACGTCATCTCTCTTGCGAAGTTGGCTAGGCCGACGTCACTACGTCCGCCCGGTCCGCAGAATCAGCGCAGCCGTTTCCAGGAGAAGTTCAGTGATTTGGCAGTGTGTTCATTGGGCTCTTCGAAACGGTGTGCCTTAATTTGGTGTCAGAAGTTCAAGGAACCCCGCCCAAGATCTCTCAGGCCAACCCCATCCGGACCAAGGGTCGTGCCTCGCACAGCCGGAGAACTCATCCACAGAAGATTCAGGTACGCCTTCGGTGCGTGGCCACTGCCACGGTACCTGGAGGAGGAAATCATCAGAAAAAAGGAATCCATAGCCATCAGGGAAGGAAGGATCCACAACGACAACCCAGTGATAGCAGTCATCAAGTCAAAAAAAAACCGAACCAAGCCGAGTTCATCGTGATCCATCAAAACCGCGGCAAGGGTTAAGCAGTGTACCAGGTCCCGGGCCTCACCGAGCCTAATCATTAGTGAGCCTCCACGGAACCCCCTGCAGGACATGTCTCTAGAGTCCTTCGACCGCGAAAAGTCAATATTTCTCGCGAACCTGTTCCGAACGACAACGCTCCACCGGTCAGTGAAGAAGAAGAAATATACGACAGGGCCGGAGCCACCCCCTATCAGGGACCTCAGGCAAACTCCACGGTCGAGCACCCGAGCATCCAAGACCCGGCGGCAGAAGATCGAACGTCAACGGGAGCGGGAACGCCAACCGAAAACCCAGCCCAAGAAGCCCAAGGAGTCGCTTCGGATACCCAGACTCAAAGCTTAGCTCAGAACTCCCGCACATGTCAAGGAGTGGCGACAGGCGTTCCAGCGACGCTTCGACAGCGGCAGGATCGCCAGGGCCAATCAGCAGCTCCGGAACCTGCTGCGAGCGGACGACGGGTCCCTGCTGGACCATCTCGACCGAGTACAGTGGCTGTGCCACCAAATCAACCGTCGATGCCAGACGAAGACGTGATCGAGCGTTCCGGAAATACCACCTCCGAAGAAGAATTTGCCCACTTCGCAGCAGACGACCTGCTGGCCGACCTCGACGGAATCAGACGCCTACTGGAAAAACGCCAGAAGCATGTCGCGACCCGGAACAAAGCTCCGGAAGTCAGACAGGTCTCGGCCCCAGCGGCCACACTGGCGGCAGCGCGCCTGAGGAGTCCTCAGCCCAACAGAAGCTTCGACCGACGCGAACTGAACGAGAACCAAAACAGAGGACGCCCGAACATCGCGAACCGAAGTACTCACCGTACCGCAAAAACTTCGCAGGCGACAGGAGAGCCTACGACGGACGCCCGATTTGTCACTACTGCGACCGAGTCGGCCACATCTCGAAGCACTGCGGGGACCTTAACGACGGACTGCCGGCGGCGAAAAACCCGCGAAGGATACGCCCTCAAACACCACCCGACAGCTTCCACCGTAGGTCGCCATCGCCAAGCCGACACTCGGGAAACGGATACGGCCGTCCGTCCTAAGCTGTGCAGGACCGGAGCGTTCGGCAGTCGAGCATGGTCGCAAAACGGAGGTTTACGTGTACGGCGTCGGCCAAGTAAATGCCCTGATAGACCTCGGTGCAAGTGTGTCCGCAGTCAAGGCGAGCCTGCTGCCGCGTAACAAAATCCGCTTCAAGCCCACCGCAAGCGATGATGAACCCACGATTGCGGCCAATGGATCAGCGATCCCCAGAGAGTCCATTTGCATACCGGTCGCCTCCGGCGGCGTGTTGGATCCCGCGGCGAGATGGGTCCAGCGGCGAGCTGGGCCGCGGCGAGTTGGACCCTGCGGCGAGCTGGTCGCGGCGAGTTGGGGTGTACCGCTTCGAAATCGTGGAGTATGGTATACCAAGGGCCCACCTTCCCGCATCTCTCTGCCTGACTTCGATAAGGTTTCTCAGTCTCTTCGGCATAGTTATTGTTGCGTTGCAATAGGTGAGTTGCGGTTCTGCAGTGGCTTCCCACAAGATGTTTGTAGGATTCTACTTCTGGGATCTGCCTCCCCTGTATCGTGAGGCCCTGAGCGAGCGTATGTGTTGAGGACGGTCGAGAGAAGACTATCACTCCGCTCTTCTGGGGATTGAATTTGTCGACCGATTGTCGCCAAACTTGGATGTTATCTCCAGAAGAGCTCTCATATCGTCGACCTTATTTGCCATCAGACATAAGTCGTCAGCAAAGAGTAGTCCGGGGATTGTAAAGAATTTGTTCTCCTTTACATCACAGAAATCGCCCTTTTTCGCAAATCTGAACCCCAGTTCCGTTCCCAGGAGTTGTTTTTCGATGTCCGCGATGTGTGGGTTGAAGGGGATGGGAGACAGGGGACACCCTTGCCGAAGTCCAATAGGGATGGATACTTCCTTCGAGGTGTATTCACCGAGTCGTACGGAGATACAGGTTTCCTCGTACAGGTGTTTCAAGAGTTCGATTATCACAGCTCGACAGCCAAATCGTTACAAAGAAAGTGATAGCTAATTCGGGGTAAACCGGGGCCGCTGAATCCGAATTTCGTAACAGATTTTCTCCATCAGGTCTAGTTTTCCCGAAATTTCAATTTTTCGATTTTTTGCCATTTTTCGTCCTCAAAAAATTCTAGCTCCGCCCCTGAGTGGACTAGATCGATGAAACTTTGGTGGCGGATAGACCTCGGTCGGGGCTATGCCTGGCCGAGTTTTGGTGCGATTCGTAGTAGTGGTCTCTGAGCTAGAGCCATCGGAAAGTAACAAAGAGAAGAAAAAAGTGGGAGAGGGACCTCTTAGAAAGCACTTGACGGAAAAACTAGGACCTTTGAAGCGGTCTGACCCCGACAATTCGATAGAGGAGGCTTTTAAGAGCATTTTAAGACCAAGCAGAGCAAAGTCGGTCGATCCGTTCACTTTTTATTCGCAAAAACATTGAAAATTTGAAAACGCCTAAAAGTCGGAATTCGTCTGGTCCGACTTCTAAGCAGTCGGAACTCGTCTGTTCCGACGCTTAAGCTTAGAAGTCGGAACTCGTCTGTCCACTTTT